TGCAACCCATCTTTCACAGAGAATTGATTGTCGTGTTACACTGGGGTATTTTTTTTTTAAATTGTCCCCCAACTGGTCGTGGATAAACACAAATACTTTTTTATAAAAAAGTTTCAAGTAATTCAGTCTTTCATCACGTGAATTTATTTTTATAACTGGCGAAAGTAATGCTGCTGGAATAGTATGTAATAAGGGCGGTGATTTTAAGCGCGGAATTTGCACTTTGTTTTATTCGTGAGGAGCTGAAAGAAAATTTGAAGCTGCTTTCGAGTCTTTTCTTTTATGAAATTTGTCTGTAAATTAAGATAAATGCGCCATGATGATGTTTTACTTGCTAGCGTATTTGCAAGTCTGGATGCAAATTCGACAGAGAATGGAACATCAGTCCTGCTTTAGTCGTTTAATCAAAATGTGTCTTGTGTTGTAGAATTGGTGATGGTAAGATATACGGGGGATACTTGAATTATCCAGTTGAAAGGAATGCGCAGGTGCGATGGATTGTTGTTCCGCTTTCGGAAAGTGAGCATGAAATGATGGAACCTACAATAAAGCTATGTGGGCTACGGGAAGATGGTAATTTCAGTTAGTTGATCATTCCGGAAAAATGCGCAGTTAAAACCGCGTTTTGGAACTTTTAATGTTTTTTATATACTTTTTTTTTCTGTAGAAAACTCAAACACATCTTTGAGGCAAAATACTGCAGTTTTATTAACAAAAATATGTGCAGACGTAGTTCCCCTTTCTAAAAACAATTTGTAAAGCAGTTAATAATGGTTCAGCCCTCCAGCACCCTGGACCTGTTAGCTTCAATTTGCTATCAAAAGATTGCTTGGGCAGATTACCTCTCATTAATGACTTTCAATCAAAAATCGTTAGTTTAGGGTTGCCCCTCACTCTCCACTATACTAGTCACAAATTGTAATTTAATCTAGAACTTGAATTTCATCGTTTCTGTTTGAGGGACATTCAAATGCGACTTTACATTTGCGCGAATGCTGAAGTTGGTACCCTGGTGGATACTGTTCAGCGTGGGCTTCATCAGCATCACCGCCGTATTCTTTTGTTGCGCTATCCTGCTAATTATGCTTCGAAAGTGTTGCCGTAAAACGGAGGGTTGGCATTCAGACCCAAAAATTATTTTGAAGAATTTTGTAAAAAGATCCGTTTTCTTCAGCTTAGGATCTCTGAAACGCTAAGTCAGCACTGCTCTAGTGTGATCAATATCAATATGCAATTTATGGTTTCAAAAATTAGAAAAAAAATTAGCAAGCGCAGCAGGAACTGTTTTGAGAAAAGCATTTTTTGAAAGTGTATTTAAGCAGATGTATTTAAGCTGACTATTATTTAATGAATGATTGGGTGAAAATAATTTATACTGATTTGGGGAAAAAAGACAAAATGCAAAACGGCCAAGCAAAAACAGTAGCTTTTTGTGAAGCAAATTTTTTTTCGAATTGTTGGTCATGTCAGATTTTATATTTCAGTAGGCCCCGTAACAAGTGCATCAACTTCTCAGAGACTTTCCTCGTTTGCTACGCAGTCAGGTAGCTGTATACGTGCTCTCAACAGAACTGATCAACTGCGTTACAGTCTACGTCGTACCTGCAACGATTCACGTGACGCAACTCCGCATTTACGGATGACCGATGGCTTACAACAACTGACCAGGATTGGCCACAGAAAAAGCGCTAGCTGCGTGCAAATAAGCCGTACTTCACCTACGGTTTGCAAGGACGCTGCAACAGTCTCACTGCTTGGTTAAAGCTTTAACGAATTCGTTCATCTCAACGCAAAGCAGCTTTTCATAATCAGTGGGACGTTCACTACATTTTACCAGTAAGGATTGCTCAGTAAATTGCTTTTGCGATGCGTTCGTGAACAACTGACCCTTCACTTAGCTTATACTGGCCGCATGTTGGAAAGAGCCACATCTTTTAAGGCAGATTTCAAAATGACAACAAACGACTGTGAATTCAGTTGGACAGTCGTTTTGCTGATGCCAAGGTGACGCAGGAGCGCGGGCAAAAGGACGGTTAGGTTATCCCATTATGAGACTTTTCCTTATGTCTTGCCATCTATTATTTTTTATCGGGGCAGTGCATGCTTTGTGTCGCCCCCCTTTTGCATGATCAGTTGATAGCCGCTGGCCTGCACAGGTTTTTGAAGTTTAAAAAGAATTTGCTTACACTGTTCTCGAGCAGTGTTGGTATTAGAGATCGCAGTGTGGGATGGAAAAGAGGCAAATTTTTTTTTTTTTTTAAATCCAATGTTTGGATGAAAATGCAAGGTCTTGGATTTTGCTGAGTGTATTGTGACTGCATCTCTGGATGGCGCTTTTTTTTGCTCAGTAGGAGAAAGAAGCAGAAGCAACTTTCTTCTTGCAATCCATCCAGCTATGCATCCAAATAGAAAGGTGAGCATGAAGACTGGAATTTACGGTTTATCAGTGACAATTAGTGAATTTGCATATCTGAGCAATTAGTTGCCACTCGTTTTCCATCAATGGTATGATCAGCGACGTTGTTCGGATTGCTATGAACAAACCGCGAATTTTCTTATTGGTGTACAACATTTTCTCGGCACTGGATCTTTTTTGAAAACCAGCTAAGGGCTCCGTGGAGGAGTGCGTGGCGGCACATTTGGTGAATCGGCGCCCACCCACTTATAAACTTGCTTGCATTTAGCCTTCAACAGTTCAATGCGCTCCAGCGCCGACATTTGTGGTTCACTTACGCGGGCATATTCGTCCTGAACGCGCTCCTGCTCGCTGTACATCTCATAGTCGTAGCGCTCCTTGACTAGTTCGCGAACAACGTCTGGCTGTTCCTCGGCGTTCAGATGTAACCTGAACGTCAAGTTCAGCAAAAAGATGTCAAAAAAGCCAACGCGTAAGCACTGGAACAGGTCTTTCAAATGGACGAATATTTCTTTGTTAGGGCTGCGAAGATGTACTCTATGGAAGAGAAAATTTGATATATTTGTTTCGGGCAGGAAACTCACATCGCTGTAGCATCAAAGGCTTACAATGATAATTAACAATCGCAATGAAGAAAATTCTAAACAAAAGTAAAGAGATTATTTGCAAAAGCTCATTAAAATGTTTAGAAAAGAAATTTTATTTTTTGTGACAAGTGATGAAGGAAAAACTGGTGAAAACTTACGCATAAGTGTCGGGAAATACGTCAACGATTCTTGCGACAGACATAGCTTCAAGTTTCGAAAAACCCCACTTTATAGCCAGTCGGAGAAACAGAATTGTGTTGCTTTCACAAGGCGGACTTTCCGAATTACAGTGCTGAAAACTTACTTTACCGGAGTATTAAGCCTGTGTAGCTGCAGGCGGCAAAAACTGTAGATGAGGCACCAGCTATGAGTAAAATTTAAATGTGAAAAGAATTTTTCTCCATTTCAAATTACAGCTTCAATACTGAAGTCACAGAATGGATGCAGCAACTAAGTGGAAGAAAAAATGACTGAAATTTGATTAAAATTGGAGAAATTTGCTGCTAAAAGTGCCCACTACATTACTATTTGACACGTACAGAAGCCTTTTTGGTCCCCGAGTTATTAATTTTAGCACCAAAACTTCCATATTCCTTTACGTGAGACCTAGGCGCGCGAGGTCTAATTCGCAACCGACTGAAATTTGGAAATAACTATATATTTAACAACACAGACAACTTGGTGGCAATCATATCTGTTTGCGGCTACGGATAGTTCTGTAACGATCTGCATCAGCAGCTCGCATCGGGATAGTCTCCCTAGCTTTTCTGTTTCCGGAATTAGTAATTTCCGCGTCAAAATTTAGCGTGTCCCTACGCGAGACTTAGGCACAGGTGAAGGCTGAATTTACGTTTGCGAGATCGCACGCGAGTAACCCCTCCCCCTCACTTCCAGCTTCTCCCGTTTCTGAGATGAAACTCTCAGACAAAATGCACTCGGAACTCACACAATCAAGCACACGCCCGCACATACACAGACAGGGTCCCCGACAATATGCGTTGTGTGCAACTGCTGCAGCACAAAACGCATGATACGCAGTTAGCTGCTCCCCACACACTGCGGCCTGTCGGCATTGATTGAAACAGAAAACTGTAATAAAGATTTTAGTAGGGCTCGAAACACATTATCGACAGTATTTACATGGCTCTTTGCAATGTAGGAGTGAGAGCTGATTAAAACCCAAGCATATTATTGATAATTTCAAAAACACCTTTTGAAATTTACGGCAGTAACTCTCGTCGAACATCCATAACAGCTCCATGTACATAAGTGGTTTGATGAAATTAAGGCATGCAAGAAATTCGCAGAATTCCTTAAAATCATCGGAAATTAATCTTCCACCGGAATATTTAGCAGAGCACATGCCACAGAATGCAAACGCTATCACCTGAAATGGGTTAAGGTAGAATGAACTGGAGTCAGTCGGGTTCACTTCAACGACACCTCTCATGTTTTCAGTCCTTTCCCAAGCTACTCCGCTTTTTTTTTCGTTTGTTCGTGTGAAATACAACACGTTATTGCTGGCATAGTTTCATATAAATAACTTCCAGCAAAAGTATTAAATTATCAGCGAAGTAAAGCCGCTCGTCGTTACAGTACCCTTCTAGGACAAAAACCACTCTAGCTGTTTTCTACAGTGTGCACACCAATCAACAATCCATTGCTATGTGCGTCTTTCAATGCTATCGGATTTCCGTTTATCTGAATTCTAGCTTTCATTTTTTGAAGCAGTGACCTCACTAACTGCGCTACTTTTGAACTGCAAATTGATTGCATATGCTTGTGGATATCTATCAAAGTATTCGTGGAAATATCTGCACGACATGTACAAAAAAATTCGATTATAAATCAGTGTGTTGCCATCCGCACAGTTGATATCAAATTGCCTGCAAGTGAGCAATCAACTGGATGATCAAATAACCAATTAATCAGATGACCAATTAACCACACGAAAGGCATCTGTGTTAAAATGTGCTTTCTTAACTGCGTCTATTTTAGGGTTTCTTATTGCTTATTTTGGAATACATTATTAGTTTTGTTTAAATAGATCATTTTCAATCCCTCATGCATTTATCTCCACAAATGAAAGAATCATTTTGGAGAAATCATGCCACTTCGTGTCTTGTGTTTTTCCGTTTAACAGGACACAGTAAATCGAAAAATGAAGAAGCCGGAAAGCCTGATTGTTGGCAGTACAGTCTGGGAGAGAACATGCATGAGTTTTGAAAACCGAACCTCCGCGCCACAACCTGTGAACTCGGAGTCAAGACCCGACAGATGACATAATTTAGAAGCAAAAACATAACTCAAACCGGTAAAAGTTTGAGACAAACTGCTTAAAGTCAGCTTTCGAAGCTGACTAGGATCTGACTGAAGCTAATTAGGGTGTGTTTTTTTTAATGTAAAAATTCATGAAATATGCCATCGTTCCAGCGTCTCTGCTGCATGCTTCAGTTTAACTAATGGATTTGCCAGTAGTGACCGCACCATCATTTATTCTGTAATCCAAACAACGCCAGTGGCAACTTTGCAAAGAAAAAATCAGATTTGCGTGTATCGAGATTTTAAATTTTGTTTTTCTAATTTTTTCCCATAGATTTGGAAGAATTTATGACCAGCTACCCATTATGAGCGTTTTACTTAATTTTGGACATGTTCGATAGGAAAGTTTTAAAAAAGCTTGCAAGTAATTATTTTGTACGAAATGAAGAGCCAGCATTCGTTCATCAGTTTCGCCATAAGGCAGCAGTACAAGTAGTGGATCTGGGTCAATAGGGGGGATGGTGTTTTCGAAATCGGAAGCCGCAAACGCCATTTGAATTTCAACTTGGACTTGGCCCCGACTGAATTCATCGCTTCTGTATAGTTCGGCTAACTTTTCGTTACAGTCCGGAACATATTCTATACGATGATTCAACTTGTGCCACTGTGCCGGCCATGATTCTGCTGCAAATTTGAAAGATTGTTAACTTTTAGTAAGTCCAGGTTTTATTGCGAAGAGCAGTGGCACACGCACATTTTTTTGACTGAGAAACAATGTTTCAAGAAATTTCAGGATCTTTAGCATACTGGTGGATCAGCTTGCAGCTATGAACGAATGAAAAATTTCACCACATACTGGCAGCATCCTGAATTTCGAGAAGTGCAAATTTGAATCCCCTGATAAAGAATGCTTCTCGATGCTGTGCACCTCAGTGATACTGAGTCGCACGGCTGAAGCGTTGCTGTTCCGGTCCTCCGGTCTCAGGTGTCTGCTACTGGTTCCTTTACTTGTTGTGTTCATTACGGCTGCATACCCCATTTCTACGAAGATTGTCAAAGTGGCAATTTTTGTCTCAATGGCTGCCTTCACTGCTGCACTATTGTCAGCGATTGTTAGCAAAACGCGTGAAGTGTTCTGCGTCATAGAATTTACTTCCTGTCCAGCTCTCATCCTTGTTTGGCACACACTCTTCATTTGACGAAGCAATTTAATGTGACCGCATTCACTGAGCTTCCTTCGCTCCACCATTTTCCGCACAAAAGCCGATTATGTTTAGCTTTTGGCGGTAATCACGCTTCACGTTTGCATTTGCTGCTTCCAGAACAATGGTACCGAACAGATGCAAACGATGCTTTCTAGGGAAAAAATTTTAATATTACAGTACAATAGGCACTATTTTCATGCACTCTCCTTGCTAATTTTCCTTGGATACGCCACCATACTGCACCATCATCTCCAGTTGATACCCGGTTACCTTAATCTTTCAGCTACTGCACTCACTGATGAAACAGTAAGGGCAAGAGTTGTTGGTAGACTGCATGAGCGAAGTGATCTCGTGATGAGCAGCAAAAATTTTGAACGACAACTTGTTACCCCCGTCTCGCTTCTTTTTCTACTAGTCGTTAAAAGCAAAAAAAGACAAACGTTGCTTCATTTGCCACTATGCTTGCAGTTTGGAGATAAATTACAGAGAGAAAAATTATAACTCTTTTTGCCAGTTCCTGATCGAGCGCTGAATAGTACCCGATATTCCCCAAGAATGTTGCAGTTCGTTTCTCGTACCAGCTCTAATGAAAACTCTGTTTTCAATTTGTATATGTGTAGCGTCCTAAAAACTTTGGTTTCTGATTTGATTGTAATTGATGTATCTTTTTTTCTGGATAAGAAAAGTGATACCAGATTCTGTAGTCTCATTTCGTCGCCATGTGCGAAGCAGAAAGGGAAAATTAAATTTCGATGGTACTACTACTATAGGGTCTCAGTGGTATTACTGACCACTGCCCGGATGATCTTGGCAGTCTCGGAAATATAATTCGCTGTGTGACTGCACATCAATGACATCGCAGGCCCAGCACCCAGGTGTCGAACTGTATTGGTAAACTCGACAAAAAAAAACAAAAAATGACGATGAGCACAGACTTGACCACACAGAGATTCAGTGAAGATAATTTTTTGGCTAGAACTGAAAGTGATGAGGCTTTTTCAGCATCGCACCACGCCGACGCAAGCTCGGATATCCAAAAATGTAATACCACTCGATGTATCGAAGGCCATGGACGGTGGCGAATAGCGAACGCCCAATTTCGGTAGTCACCACTTTCTTTTGCATTTTGAAGTAGTAGCAGTGCGTAAAAATGGCCAGTTGACCGCTTTCAAACAAGTATTTCGTGGAGAAGGCTGGTAAGACTCGTTGACCATGGCGAAATCTTTAAAAATAGCATAACAGTAAACAAGCGACTTAGAAAGTTCCTGCACAAATTTCAGCCAAAAGTTGTATTTTTTTTAACGGTTACCTTCTGTCATTCTCATCAGTCACAATTCTCGAAGACCTAAAAGTACTAAAAAGGGGAAAGCCGAAAAAACCTGACTGCACCCCGTCTTTTTTACTTCAAAAATGTTAATATTCTCAGTTTTCACTTCACAGCATTATGAGTGGATTTCCGTTTTGAATGCGATGGCTAATGAATTAACTGTTTCCGATGCCTTCTGCCAAAAAAATTTTGAAAGTCCCACTCCCACCAATAATTCTCTAAAAGTACTTTTTTCACATTCTTTTGATTACGCCAGTGCTGCTGGCATCTAATAATTTTCACAAAAGTTTCACCCTATTGCGCATGGCGCAGTTAAATCGATACCCTGTTCATGGGCTATTTCATGAATGGTTGACATGTCAGTAAAAAAATTAACTTACAAGATGAAAATAATTTACCCTGATCTTTGTTTTTATATTATAAATTGTGCCAGTGTTCGCAGTTCTCCTAAAATTTGCATTTCTGAAGTGAATATTTTGTCGCCTTTGCAAATTTGCGCGATTTAAAGTGATCGATCGTAAGACGCGAACTGAATCAAAACCACAAGTTGAGCACGACATACTGACCGTCTTTTGTAATATTTCAAAACATCAAACCAACATTCAGAGCGATCTTGGGAACAAGGTGTCTTATGTTGCAGTGTCCATGGGAAAACAATTAAAATACGTTTCAGCACAATGCCGAATGAATTACAGGAATATACTCATAAAAGTCAAGTGCAAAGGAAAAGGCTTGCGAAATTTTCATCAAGAAACGCATATCCAGTTAATGTTATCGAATAAAAACTAGAAATTACTTCAATAATTACATACAGTTGGTTAAATCAAAATGCAGGCCATGTGTATGTGTGTGTTTGCTTGTCTGTGTGTTAGCTCATAATTTACAAAAGCTGAGGAAGCTTAAAGTTTGAAAACAGACTTTTTGAAAGTTTGAAAACAGAAATTTTGAAATAAGCAAAATTGCCAGTATGAATTTGTTTTGGTTTCACTTTACAACATTGAAAATGAAAAGCCGGAGAATGATTTCCAGTTGCAGTGCGCCTTACGTATGATCACAGGAGACAGGCTAAAAATCCAAGATGAAGCAAGCTATGGATTTTGCCTGTTAGTGCCTCATTGTCTCTCAAAATCGCTGTGGTGCAGCACAACTATCCTGCACATGCACTGGCGAAATTAGAAATTGCTTTAGAACAGGGCAAATAGCAAAAAACAGGAAGCTGGCAAGCTGATTGCTAAGATTTATTTTAATAACATTTATCTCGTGCGTCCCACAAAAGGCCCCATGTGGTGCCAGTATTAGCGCTTTGTGGCTTATTCGCTGCGCTGCCAGACAGAGTGAGGCACAGCTTTTTTAAACAGAAAACTGTGACACGTCTCTTTGATACTGGTATTCAAATAAAGTGTAATCACCAGTAATAACGGACAAAATCGACTCAGTTACTAAAAATAGATAAAAACGATAATTTTCGGCATGTCGGCCCCGAAAAACTGGTATTCACTTCCCTTTGACCAAGCTGCTGATACTGAAATCTGCATCTTTTTTGAACAGTTTACATGCCAAATCGTGAAAGCACTTGATTTGTAAGGGAATGCTGTGCTTAAATGAGGCTATAGCAGGCCTGCTGGTAAAACCGACGCTCGAAGAAATCCGATGCAGACTTCGGCAGAAATTTCAAAGCATTTGTTGCCCACTGATGCTTCAGGATTTGCCAGCGCCTCTGCAACTCATATTGGTTAAGCAGTTAGAGCAAACACTTCAGCTTGGCCCAACCTTCAGCCCTCCAGAAAGCATTTAGCAAACAGTTATCCGGTCATTATAAAAAAAAAATTAAAAATTAATTTTTACAATAATTTCTTGCAAAGAGACAAGCAAAGGACTGCGCCTGGCTGGGCGGTTTCCTTCTTACAAGTGCCTTTGACTAATACATGACAACCATGCGTTATCAGCAAGGTGATTCTCGCCTATCTGATTTAACTTGCCCGTTACCGCGCGCCGCTCCTCTGATGGTAAACTTGTTTCCTCATTTACTTATGAAGAGACACTCCAAGCATCCTTCACCCCGTTGCTTTCTTTGTAATATCTAGCGTTCGCTCTTCGCCAGCAATAGCATTTCGCATTTGTAACTGAAGAGGCAAGAGCACCTTGGTTTTCGGTTTTTTTGGTCATTACTGATTGTTATTGTTTGTTATTGCTACTGTCATAATAGGTATTATTATAATTATTATTATTGTTATTGTTATTATTGCTGCTATCATTATTATTATCGCTACTATTATGGCTATTATTATTATTGTCATTTCACTTTTACCACATTATTATTTTTGCCCTTGTTATAGTACGGTATCGCCGATTAGACGGCCCCCTGCCCCGGCGAAATACACCCGAAGCTGTTGTTGTTTTGGCGGAAACAACCAGACTTGTGGTAAACAACTCCCACTGTTTACCACAAGTCTGGGGCCGCTCCCGCCAAAGGGGAAGCGCAGCCCATTGGGCATGTTCCCGCCGATATGGCAACACAGCTTGCCGACGGTTGGGGAGGGGGGCGGGGGCGCCCTTCTTCGACAGTGGTAAGGAAAGATGTTGCTGGGGGACAGAGGGACCGTTTCGTGCATCCCACTTCTGACATCAAGAAAATAGTGAGATTGCGTTTCGAAGGGACCAGTGACACCGCAGAGTCTGCACAGAAGTTGTACCAGGTAAATTCGTGCCCTTGCCTACCTATTAAGAGAGGTAAATGTAACTGTCGGCTTGTTCCGGACTTCCAGCGTCAACGTAAACGATGGCCTAGAGCATGTTAGCCTTGTTTAGCACAAGAAACCCAGCAGACTGTTGTAAAATCATATTACAGTAAGCAAACTGTAACAATCAGATCGACTCTGAAAGCTTAAATGGCGAAGACGCGACAGATTACAATACGCGAGAAGGAGATAAAGTGAGGCAAGACGTTTCGGTCTATTAAGTCATATGCGCCTTAACTCCACAGCGCGACAGGACCTCGTCAGTAAATTATAATAAATTTAGAAGTGCCTAAGTGCCTAAGTGCCTAGAAGTGCCTAAATTTAGAAGTGTCTTAGAAGTGCCTAAGCATAATTAGCAAACGTCTCAGCAAATGGGCAAATAATTAGAACATTTGACCCAGGCTGAAACGCACCGGGCGGACCCGTGCGATCATGCGTTTTTGCACCGGACTTGAATTACTCAGGTCATTAACTTTATGAATGGCTGTTGCTTTACACTTGCCTTTTGCGGTCACTAGCATAAATCACCGCTAATTTTGCAAAGCAAATGTACAATTTCCATTTAACAGTCGTTCTTTAAAAGTAATCCAGTTGTTCA